AAAAATATACTATTCGTGGCAATTGTAAAACGAATACTGCTCGTAAAATCATTTTCAATCAATTATCTGTATTATACCTGTTCAATATCATAAACTAAATTACAAATAACTTTTATCACATAGCAAAATTAAAGTAGATAGGTACCTAGGTGCATTTTTAGTTAACTCATTAATTGTATGAATCTGGTTCGAAAAGTCCGAACTACAAAAATCATTCGGGGTTTGAACGTATTATTTCGTAGAWTTTAGGTTTTACCGGTATTCGTACTTTTACCGTAACATATATACCCAAACATTTTCTACCATTACATCGAAAATGTGGTTATCACAAACAAATACTCAACAAATCTTTTCATCAAMCATTTACACCTACTGGTTTCGTTACAAGTCAACCACGTTGTCCTGAAATCATAATATTATTTATATATTACCCAAACATCTTTACACAAATAACGTTCATCCCAATGACCCAGCTATATATGACCATATCAAAATTAATCTACTAAGTCAAACCAATATCTCCCATTCATCTATTATTTACTCAGATCCTCTATAACTTCACTAAAACAAAATAAATGTCGAATCCATATGTTTGCCTACTATTTTAACTCAAAAAATCCAAGAATATGCCCTACGATAAAATACAACCACACAAATATTTCTCAATCAACTGAAATAAAATAATTTGATATTTAATTCAATTGGTATGGTTAAAATAATGAAAACATTTCGGGCAACTAATTCAAAACATTGAGTCTCACTGCTACACGTTCGAGTATAATGTATACTCCCTGACGAGGATTCGGACTGGCTATATCACCTATAATAATACTCATTAAGTGGGGTAAATAAAACTAGATAATATGCTCCTATTCACATAAATCAGTGTCATAAGTTTAGTGTCATGTATAATATTATGTTATTGCTTATTTACTATTATTGTATTTGTGTAATTACATGCAAAACCCGCCAAATAACTGTTACATTATAAATTGTTATGAGTTATTTGTAAAATTTACAATGTATGATATTTGCTTAGTTGATTATTGTTGTTCGCTTTTGAATACCAGTATAATTAAATATACAGCACGAAAAAATATTATTTGGTTATGATGAAGAGTTTATTCGAATTATTTTAGTCTTCATGACGAATAATACATTTATTTACGCAAGTGCATGTGTTTATTTGAGAGAATTAAATTGAATAAGTTGAATAAATTTAGTTAAATCGACTTGTTATATAGTAGGWTAATAGGTTACTACTATCTAAAATAGTTTTGATGGCCCACGAATAATTTCAAGATTCCTAATTTGGCCCTTCAAAAATATTAATTTGTGACTATTGGGATGGAGTATAAAAAGTATATAAGGTGTGTCTTAGAACATAGTTAATTATACAAATAATTGTATCACAGTATTATATAAAAATTGAATAATTCACCTAAAATGCAGATAAACACGAACGTGAAGCATGACACGAACGTTATAATGATGAATAACAAAGAACAGAACCTAGGCTGTTGAAACTTCCACTTCATCGAAACACCTGAAACAATCGTATATTATACGTAAAGTAGGTATACATAAATCACTTAGATCGTGGATCGTCAATACAGCAATTATATAATTTATAATATATAATATAAATCAATGTATAATATATAGGTAATTATATATATTATATATAAGCTTGATGAATTATTTTGCTACAATGAGTCGACAAGGATACACATTTTTTTACCCACCCACACACAAAAAATGTTTTCACTTTTCTTGAAATTATATTGTTAAAATTTTATTATAGGTAGATAATCACTATAAAAATTTCTTTAGTTTTTTTCTCGATGTGAACTTATTTGTAGTAAAAAAAAATCACAAATTTATTTGTATGTCTCTGAAGCTTCAAAATTATAAATAACACTCACTAAATATACACAGAAAAATAATTTTCCAAATAGCTCTTATATTCACCATTAATTGATGGTAATATTAGTAGCAAATTTCAAGAGTAAAACACACGTTGAATAGTTTAATATCTACAAAATTTTCGTACCAATCTTATAATCAAGTCCWTAATCCTTAATGGGCATTATCCCATAGAAAAATTATCAAGAAAACCCTTATACAACATAATAGGTTTCATGTATATCTCTTGGTTATTGATAGGTCACTGTAATTGATATATTAAATTTGAATTCAGTGATAAAATTGTCATTGTACACGAAAAATGATTCTGAGTGGAAACGGTCACCTGTCAGCTGATTTTAAAGTATTACATAATATTTTTATTTCTATTTGTACTATTAGGTAGGTTAAAAACATGTACATGAAGTTGGCCCCTCCACTTTGTCCGATCGACTTCAAAATACCACCAAATTATTGCAAGTTAATTGCAAATAATTGCAAATCGAGTTTCGCTAATTGCAAATCATCCAGTATTGAGTAAACTCAAATTCAAAATTGGGGGGGGCCAACTTCCTTGCAAATCAAGTTGCCCTAATTGCAAATCGTTTTTTTATTTTTTACGAATTTTTCAATTTTTTAGCCAGCCCCCCCACTTTGTCCGATCGACACCAAAATATTGCCAAATAATTGCAAATTAATTGCAAATCGAGTTGCCCTAATTGCAAATCGTTTTTTTATATTTTTTACGAATTTTTCAATTTTTTGTATTTTTTATAAATAGCACATTACAAGTACAATCTATGACATTAACACCTTTAATTCCTGTGTCTTCTTTGAAAATGGTTTTTAGAATTTTTAATCGCTCTTTATGAATAGTAAATGACGTGCTATATTAGTGACTAGTCTTTTAAAAGATGCTGCATCAGCTTATGAATACATAGAATGTAATAATACTAACTGTAAGAGTGGAATTAGAATTGTATCTTGTCCAACAATTATCGTAAGACTGAAAGAARGATTTAAGACTCTAGAGACRAGTYTCCAAAAATATTTAGACGTTAAGATGARCATGTGCMTAGAATGTGATGAAAATGCTTCATCAACAAAGGATCTATGTCAACACATCTTCATCGAGACAGATGTCTTTGCTGATAAAAGTCAATTTAAGCTTCTAGAATTTCCTACAAAACTAAAAGTGAATACAAAAACGTAAGTTAAAGAATTATAATAAACAAAATTATAAAATAAATAAATATATTATGTATTTATTTATAAKTTATTACATGGTTGTAAAAGGAATGTGGYTAATAAGTCATTACTCATTAGCGAAACTTCTATATAAAATATATACTATGCAATCCTAAAATTAATGTTTTGATGTTTCAGTTATATACTCCATGGAGTGGTATCTTATGGATATGGTCATTATGTGTCCCACGTAAGAAGGTTCAATGGTGTATGGGAACCGCATAACGACCTGCAAAAAAAAATTAAATCACCTATAAACGCTCAAAAAACAAGTGTGAACCTGCACCTTCTTATATATATTCAGGAAGAACTCTAACAATTATTTTACATTAATATTTAATAAATAAAATACAAAATGTTTWWAAAAAATATATAATATGATTATTTTTTGAAATTAATTCATTTACCTAATCATACAAGGTAGGTACTAACTACTAATATTATTATGTCATATAAAAAAAAAAACTAATGGTAAAATTAAAATAAATTAGCGTAGTAGGTAATTCACTAAATCACTTATTTGATGAAAAAAAAAATCGTTTGTATGGTAACCATAATTGTAGTTTATTAATCAAGTATTATATACAAAGCAATGAAACAARTTGTATTTTATTCAATCTTAAGATTATTTTGAATTGTTATTAACAAAAATCTTAACTTTTAAAAATTACATTATAYTTAAGTGGCCGTCTCCATTTTGTATACAGTCAGCTATCCGTTTTTTCATACTATCCATAACTCTTTGTAGGATATGCACATCGATGGCTGTAATTTCCCGTCTAATGTTTTCTTTTAACTCTAATAGTATAAGTGGCTTATTAGTGATACTATAGATTTCAAATAACCCCACAAAAAGAAATCAGGTGGAGTCAAATCAGGAGAACATGGTGGCCAGGCAATATCACCATTCCGTGAAATCACACGATTTGGAAAAAACACGCTGATTCACAGRCCACGTGATCACTGATAGAGTAAAACTAGACATCATGAACTTTAATCTGGTAAGAAACTAGTTTATTTTATCTRCTTTAGTACCTAACCACAATTCTCTATAAATCGACAGAACCCACTGCCCCGCCCTATATAACGGGTTGGAATAGATTTGTGATATTTACTTATGCATTGTTTGTATTTTCAACAGTATTAAGAGACTTAAAAGRCTTGAAATGAAAATTCATATTTTCAATATTATGTATTACCTGTACGTATAACGGTGAAAACATTTAAGTAATTTTTTTTTTTAATTACAAAAAAATTAATAAAATGTATGTTTTTTGTTGATTATATAATTTTGTAAAAATTTGAACGTTAATAAGTACAATTTTGTTCYTGTTCTCGTTTGAACATTATAATATTGGCCACAAGAGCATACACATATCTTTATAAATRTTACTCAATTTTAAAAATAATAACTTAATATCATAATTTATAATACTACTTAATTATAACTATACAAAACAAATTTTTATAATTTTTTTTTTTTATAGAACAGGTACTACTAATTTTATAGCACACTATAAACAATCAACATTTCCTTAAATATTTAGTAAGTACATAAAATACATAATTTTTTACATATCTAACAACTGAATTAATAAAAAGCAGGTAAACATTTTACTGTACATCAGGTGCAAAGAACTCTTTAATAGATGAATTAAATTTGAATTCTATGATCATTGTATGCGAAAAACGATTCTGAGTGAAGGCAGGCGACAGCACTCAACCTATAATATTACTAAGTAAATTTTATATTTTTGTTATTTAAGTAGGTAATTTATTTTTACTATTAGCATATAGGTACTGTATACGAATAATATTTTTTAATTATAACATAATAACTAAAATCGTTATTCTGGATTTTAATATGTAATTTTATCAAAATGTTAACTTAAATGGTTAAATGTCTGTAAAAATATTAACTTTGCACACTAACCCTGAGTTGCTACTTAAAAAATTAACAAGGTTTATTTGGAAG